TCAGAGTTGCTTCCAAAGAAGTAGAAGATTCGGCTTGGTGGTTAGACTTGTTTTGGAAAGATGACTGATTTGTTTGTTGATGAAAGGTATATTGGTGATGGGCTGGGGCTTGACTCTGATGATGTTGTTGAGACTGATGTGGTTGGAATTGTGAAGTCCCTTGGGGTTTGTTCATTGGTGGGTTTAGAGCAGGACTGTGCCATGAAAAATTTGGGTGTTGTCTCCACCCAGGATTGTACGTTTGAGAAAATGGTCCTGATCTATTTTGATTCCCGACGTAATTGACTGATTCGGAGTTGGATGGACAATGTTCAAAGGGATGTCCTCCACCACAGTACACACATTGTACTGACTCAACAGTTGGAGCATGCGCGGTGGSTATGGTTTGTGCTGCTTGACCATTTGTTAAATTTTTAATCAAATTGGTCATTGCAGTCATCTGAGCCGTTAATGCTGTAAAAGCATCTACGTCATGAACTCCCACTGTTTTGCGTGGTACTAGTGTACGAGGGTCGGCCCAATGTCCATTATTATTTGAAATCTTTTCAAGGATATCATATCCATCATTATAGGTACTAGCCGTGAAAGCTCCACCTGATGTAGCATCGAGCATTTGTTTTGCAGTGATATTTAACCCGTTGTAAAATGTCTCGAGCTGTATACAGTATGGAATGCCATGGTGAGGGCATTTTCTTAATAGCTCCTTGTACCTTTCCGAAGCATCGGGAACTGCCTCATCGTCCATTTGTTTAAAAAGACAAATTTCGTTTCTGGACTTAGCGTTCCGAGTTGGAGGAAAATATTTTTTTAAAAACTTTTCTGCCATACTGTTCCAAGAATCCACAGATCCTGGTTGCAAGGAATTAAACCAAGACTTTGCCCAATCCCTTAAAGAAAAAGGAAATAATGTGAGTCTTAAAGCATCATTAGATACTCCCGGGATAAGGAAAGTGTCAGTTATTTCCATGAATGATTTTAAGTGCGAGTGTGGATCTTCAGATGGCAAACCACTGAACTGTCCGTTTGTTTGCAACATATTAAACATTACCGGTTTTAACTCAAAATGGAGGGCTTCCATTTCTGGTCTAATTATTCCTGAATTTAACTAATCCAAAACAGGAATGGCATAGTCCATAATTCCTCCGCCTTTTGAGTTTGCCAGTCTAATTATTTTTTCAGCGTCATTCAGTGGTGGGGGAGTTGGTGGAAGTGGATGATCAGCCATATTGGAAGAGGTTAGAGTAGATAAAAATACTCTTTGCACTCTTCGTCTTTGTCTAAAAGTTCGCTCGATATCCGGATCCAATTCAAAAATCTCCCCGTGCGGTAGCCTTGGCATACACCACACCTAAAAATCAAGTAAAAAGATGGTAGAAAAATCAAGTCTTTAGATTTGCTAAAAAAAAAACTTTTGCCTAGTCCCCGGCAGCGGCGCCAAAAACTTGTTACGTGATTTATATAGAATAAATCTCTCAGACTGCTAATAAATGGAGACTAGTGCAAGTATACACTTATCAACCCACTATCATCTTTAACAAGTAATAGAGTGGTAAAAATACCGAGTATCGTCCACCGGAAAAAGGAATAAAAGTTCGTTTTAACAGTAAAAATAAAGATAAGATTTCAGATGGTGAATTCGAGGAAATATTTGTGGTGAGTTGATTAAACACTACTGCTGTGAACAAGTTTTAGAAAAGAGCTTGGGGTGTAGGGATTCGTTAGGATGTTAAACCGATCTAAAAGTAGACAGCATGCTACGGCATGGTTCTATAGCATGCTTTATAAATCACTTATCTTTACAACTAATAGCTTCTTTAAGGTACTCTCTCGAGATGTAGAATGGCACA